TTCATAATTACAATGTATTATTTTCAATGGAAGTATAAAAAATGTCCAAATTTTCAAAGTCATCAACAAATGAGAAGTTGGCCCATTGTGGGCCTATATGTGCCTTACACGGGCCGGCCCATTATGGGCCTAGACGGGCAGGCCCAACCCAGCTTGTCTCATTATTTTTCATGGGTTGTGTCGGGCCGGCCCATGGGCCGACATATGTTGGCCCAGCCCAGCCCACCAATATTTATTGATTGGACCGTGCATTGAACAGTGAAGGGTCGTGCCAGCTTGGCCTATCACTGTGTCAAGATGGGCCTGGGTCGGCCCACAGACCCCAACCCATTGTTGCATCTCTATCAACATGAGCTTTTTCTGGTTCAACGATTGGAGAGGAACTTATTTTATTTTATTTTTATCTTCTTTGGGTTGAATTGTTGCACTTGTGGGAGGAAGAGGAGAAAAATGGTTTTCAATAAGGGTGATAAAAAAACCCGACAATCCGACGAATCCGATTAACCCACCAAATTCAACCTATTTTAACAAGAATCTGACCAACCTGATTAAAAGATCAACCCAACCTGACTATTAATTGGATGAGTTTGGGTTGAGTTTTTCTTAATCCAAATTAAGCCGAATCCACCCAATCTATATGTTTATATAAATAAATAGTTTCCTACCTCATAATATATAGTTTTTATCTTATATTTTATATTATTTACTTGAGAATAACTTATATGATAATTTTGGAGTTTTATAAGGCTAATATTGTGATGAAAGTTAGCTTTCTTTTTATACATTTTTTATTTTGAGTTGAATGATTAGCTTCATTTATTTTTTTATTTTTTTATTATGTTCAACCCGATCAACCCACTTAAAGTTTAATTGAGTGGGTTGATTTTAAATTTTAAATTAATTAGATAAGTTATATTTAAATCAACCCATCAAAACTTAATTGAATGGGTTGAAAAATCTCAAAACATCATCCAATGCACCCGATGTTGTCCCCTACTTTTTAGACATCTTTTGTTTTTAAAATCACGGCATGCATTGCAAAATGCAAACTCGATCTGCATTGTAAAAATATGGGTTTATATACATAAGTGTCCATTTAGATGTAAAAATGTCTACTATTCTATTTATCTATAAAAGTGTCCATCGTCCTGTATAGAAAAATAATATTATCCTTATATAAAGAAAAAGGGCCAGAAAATAATGAAACACAAAAAAGGAAAATTTTGAAATTCAAATCTTAAATTGAAATCTGGAAATAACATTTAATGAAACGAATTATATTCAGTATATGGAAACTTTTTCAAACCAAAAATAATAAAAGCACCTAAAAACCGGTTGCAAAAACGACGATTACCCAATTTTCATTCCAGAAAATTTGAACGCCCTATCAATCATTGCCGTTCAAAATCTCTAAAAAATGCACCTATACGTCGGAAATTTATATTTTCTTTATCATGAATTCTTAAAAATCCCAATGATGAAAGTAATCTTGAATTACACTAAGAATGATAATAACAAAAACATGTCACGATTCCTTAAAAAAAAAAACAAAAAAAAAGGAGTCATTATAATTATTAACATAACACGCGTGAAAATAATATTTTCTTTATCATAAATTTTTAAAAATAATGGTAGTGAAAGTACTCTTTTAACTATTCTAAAAATGAAAAGAACAAAAACATACGAGGATTGATACCCGCAATATAACAATGGCATGTTTATCTACGCGTAATCAGAATGAGCATGAATCGGAGTGGGCAGGATTCAGAGTGAGGAATCAGAGTCATAATAAGCTGTTTACTTAGTGATAGGATTCGGAATCGGAGTCATTCTAAATCTTATTTATACGTTTACTTACACCCAGAATTAGAATAAAAAAGTGTAAAAGTATTAATATACCCTTTAAATCAATTTGATATTTTCAATTTAAAAAATATATTGTGTACTTATTATATTAAAATTAATCATAATTAAAATATTTAGTGTAATAATTGAGTTCTAAAATAATAAATATAAATTGTACAACTATTTAAAATATAAAAATAAATTTTAAAAAAATTTAAATAAAAATAAAAAATAGTGTTAAAAAATAAAATACATTATTAATTTATTAAAAAATAAAGTACATATTTATTATATTAAAGTTAACAATAATTATGCTAATATTATAATATTAGACAAATAAAATAATAAATATATGTTGCATTTATTATTTTTTTAATTTTAATTTGATTATAAGTAAAATAAGGGTATAATAGTAAATTGATATTCATATTAGGAATGAGAGTCTCAATCACAAGGGGGGCATGGGAATGCCAATCCCATTCCTCAATCCCAAATTTGAGTGAGACCCACCAATCTCACTCTCATTTCAGGATAAAAAAGAGCAAGTAAACATGAGATTAACTCTCATTCCCCACTTCCATTCTTCAATCCTGATAAGTAAACATGCCACAAATCTCAATGGCAGTAAGTTGTAGAAAACATATCATGTTTAAAATTAATATTTTCTTTATCATAAATTCTTAAGAATTATAATAATGAAAGTATTTTTTTGAACGACACTAACAATGAAAAGGACAATAACATATTAGGACTAACAAAAAAAAAAGGGTTAGGAATCATCATAAATATGAACATTCCATTCGTGAAATTAGGTTGCGTTTGGTATGAGTGTTTTAAAACTGGAACTATGATTCTGGTTCAAATTTTTATTTGTTTGTAAAAAGTAAAAAATGGTTCATGAAAACTAGTGTTTAGTTTAAATGGTTTTGGTTTATGTTTTAAATCATGATGTGATGTTTTAAATCAGAACCACCCAAAAAAATAAAACCACCTCCCCCTTGATTTTAGATGGTTCAAATCTCTAGTTCTGATTCCGGTTCCAGAACTATAGTTTGGACCCCAAATTCAAATCATAAATCATGGTTTTAATTCTAAAACTAAAACAACTCTGATTTGAACCATCATACCAAACGCAACTTAATATTTTATTTATCGTAAATTCCTAAAGATTATAGTAAAGAAAGTATTCTTGAACTACACTAACATAACGACGTAGAAAAACTAAAAAAATAAAATATTCGAACCTTAAAAAACAGAGAAATTGATTAATGTCTTGAACCAAACCAGGCTGTATAAGTATGACTAAAGAAACAAAAACGTTAATAAACCAAACGTTCATAATTCAACCTCAGCAGCAAATGTAAACCCAATGATATTCAAGAAAACAAAACAGAAAAGAAAGCAAGCAAACAAAGCAAATGTACTCAGCAACGACAAATGATTAAAAAAAAAAAGTAAAGGGAAAAACTTATAATTGAAAAACCATATCAAAATTACATTAATGTATTGATAACAGAAAATTAAACACCCTGAAAGTCAACCTTTTATGTAATCTGGGAGAAAATCTTAATATTATTTAGGGACAAAGAAAAAAATTATATAAAAACGTGCCCAGAATATTCTATGAGGGTAAATCTGAAATTAAAAAATGCCTATTAATCACGAGTGGATATTTTTGTAATATTGTATAATAGTAGATATTTTTAGATCGAGGCATTCCATAATAGACGTTTTATGTAATTACTTTTAAAAAGGTGTATTAAACGTAACTATCTCTTCGTTTTAAGATAAGAAGTAGATAATTAGTAAACATGAGACAGACACGATGACAAGTAAACATGATTTATAACTTTTCAAGTAAACATGAGAAATTATTAATCATGTAATTGAAATATATAAAAAAAAATTTATAATATTTTTTCAAATAGTAGAGATTAATTAACAACTATTACGCAATTATGTAGTATAAACTTGACAATTATTATGATGATAAATATGTAGTTATGTAGTATAAAATATGAAAATTTTTATAACAGTAATTATATTATTTTTAGAATACTCCAAAAAAAGTACTATATTCAACTTTAGTTTATAAATATTTGATGTAGCATAATTTTTACAGTCACAAATGAGCACATTAAGTCAAGAGAATTTTATGTTCTATGTCTTCAAAATATAATAGCTTTCCATTTATACCGTCTTTGTTGAGAAATAAGCCAGATTAAGAGAGTAATAAAAAAATTAGAGAAAAATATTGAATTTGCTTATAAAAATGCATGCGTCGATATTTTTTACTTTATTCTTGATTAATACCCTTTTATTAATATAGTTATTTGATTAAAATGATTATTAATCAATAATAAAAGATACAAATCATGACTAATACAATTTTAAAAGTTATTTATGAAGATTTCTCTAATAATAAATAGGCCAAAGTTTTAAAGCAGATAGTCAATAGGTCATTTAATTTTAAATCGGATTTATAACAATATCAAATGCCAAAAAATTCCTAATTAAATAAAACACATTTAACTTTTATTACCTACTTTCTCTCTCCAATCGAAACGTAACATCCGTTCTCCCTCCCTCTCTTTGAAGAAAACCGTTTGGATTCACCGTCGTTGTAACATTCATCTTTGAAGCCGAGTGAGTTGACATTGCGACGAAGAAGGTGACATCGATGGATATCGACATTAGATCTTAAACTGAACGGATCTTAAAAATAAAGATGGCGTGTTGATTTTCGAATGTATAGTAAATATGTTATTTTATTTGAGAAAATTACTTAATTTATTTTTAGAGTGTATGCGTTTAATAACTTTTAACTAATATAATTATTTAACTAAAAATAATATTAATTAAAAATAAGAGATAAAAGTCTCATGAGTATTCTTCTATTTATATTCGAAGGTTTCAAATTCACTTTCAAATGTCGGCTATTTCTTACCATTTCCTGGAATATTTCTCCCAGAAGGCAAAAAGTCCATAATCAGCTGAGGCCCAATGCTGAGCCCGTCACGTGCGCCAGGGTTTTAGTCGAAAACTCCTCCGGCCCAATGCTGACGCTCGCACGTGAGCTAGGGCTTTAGCCAAAAACTCCTCCTTCCTCTAAAACCCTCGTCTTCCTTCGCCTTTGCAGTCTTCCAATAATTCAGAACCATTTCCATGGAAATGACAAAACCCTGAAAAGAAAAAACCCATTTCCACACCAGAATCCATTTTCACCATGAGATACCTTTCTCCCAAACTCCCCTCCCTTCCATGGCCGTCGTCGTCGTCGTCGTCTCGTCTTCTTCTCCTTCGGGTGTCTCATTTCTCCTCCTCCGCTTCGTCGTCGTCGTCCTCCTCCAATTCCTACTTCTCTTCGAGGCGGAAGGAAGACGAGTCTCGGAACGTCAAGGTTTCGGTGTGGTGGGACTTCGAGAACTGCAATGTGCCCTCCGGAATCAACGTCTTCAGAATCGCCCCCACCATCACGGCCGCCATCAGAGCCAACGGCATGAAGGGGCCCATCGAGATCACCGCCTTCGGCGACATGTTGCAGCTCTCCAAATCCAAGCAGGAGGCCTTGTCTTCCACCGGGATCAATCTCAACCACATTCCCCGCGGTCTGCTCCATTTCAATTTTAGAATTTTGAAAAATTCATTGTGGTTATTAGTTTGTCAATTTTCATTTTTCGTGTTCATTGTTTGTGGAAAGCAACCAGTCTGTCTTTGAACTGGACCCACCATCCTACTGGAAGAGAATTGGGTCAGGTTTTTCCGGTTCCATTAGGATACGTCCGAATGGGATTGGGGCGGGATGAAACCAGTGATTCCTCTTTCTATTTGGGCAAAAGAGAATGCCTTTGGAATTTTTATAGTAAAAAAAAAACTTTTATGAGGTATACAATCAACCAAAGTGGGGTTTTATTATTATTGTTATCGTTTACTAGATATAGTGATTTAGGGCTTAAAGTCAGATTATGTGTCAATTTCTTTTGTATTACTTCACTAAATGAAGGTTAAAGATTTGTCCCAAATTTATTATGGGGTCTGCTTATCGATCCCAAATTTGCTCGATTTATCTTTGTACGAGTAGAATCGTATTCGTAGATAGTAATTTAGTATATGTGGGGGAGTACTCTTGGAGTTTTGGTTACTGACTTGAACGATGTAGCTGAACTGCTGAAATAAATATTGATGTATGCACTGTGATTGTCGTTTAGAAACTTTGACATGAGTTGGAAGTTTGTTAATATATGGTAGGGACTTACATTTGAGTGTGTTGGTGTTATGTAGTTGGGATGACTGCAATCACATAGTTGGTGTTTAAAAAAGAATTTTGTAAGTAAAGATCATGCTTGTGTTGACCGCGTGCTATGTGAGAATGGACATCATCGAAAGGAAACACCACAAGACCTTGACTGGCGTGAGATGAAAAAGAACTAGGACTACATTTTATAACGTTCAAACTGGAGAGGAATAGCAAACACATATATCACGGTTTTGTAAATTCTAGCTTCCTTCTCTTTTAGAATTTTACAAGCTACTTTTTTATCATAAAAAATTTGGAGAAAGCAACTTCATTTTCTAGTTTGGTTCTAGTTTTCGAAGCTAATTTTGCAATTCACTGTGTATGTATTTGCATTTGGCAGTTAAAGCCAAAATAATTATCAACAGGATTCAATCAAACAAGAGCGCATATTATTCTAAATTTTTATTTCGGGTGTGCCTAACCAGTTCTGTTTATGCATGTTCTGTTTGATGCAGGTGGAAAGAACAGTGCCGATAGATGTCTTCTTATAAATCTTATGCTTTGGGTATCTCAAAATCCTCCACCAGCACATCTTTTTTTGATTTCTGGCGACAAGGATTTTGCTACCATTTTACACCGTTTAAGAATGAGCAACTATAATATATTGCTAGCAGGTCCGGAACATACTCATGGCGTCCTTTCTAGTGCTGCAAGCATCATGTGGTATTGGAATGATTTGCTTCGCGGCGAGAACCTTGATGGAAAATACTTTAACCAGCCACCAGATGGTCCTTATGGTTCTTGGTATGGCCATTATAAAGTGCCTCTTCTAGACCCTTTTCCAGATCCTGAGCAATCAGAGGAATCATCTGATTCAGATGATAAGCTTCATCCAGTTCCAAGGGATCTTTTAAAGCGTATTCGTCAGATATTGAAATCACACCCCAAAGGACTCCTTATGAGTGAGCTGCGCAATAAGTTAGAGAGAAGTGGTTTTAGTTTAGATAAAGAATATTATGGATATAAAAAGTTTCTCCCCTTTCTTGCGGCACAAGAAGACATTCTTAAAGTTAAGCAAGGAAATCATGGTCAATTCATTGTTTATGGCGTCTATCAAAAAGTTCCTGAAGCTTTTGAGGGAAACGAAGGTATGTACTCTGTACCTGATAGTGACAATGAAAATGAGGATGCCAATGCACCTTCCAAGTTAAGTTGTGATGAACGCTCTTTACAAAGATCCCCTGAGAAGCGGTCAATAAGTCCTTCCTCAGACCAAAATGAGGTGGACATCTTGGGAAAGGCATATCAGCCTTCTCCCCTTGACGGGAATGTCACCAAAGCCGTTAATGCAACAGAAGCTGACAGTTCGTTGCCTCCTAGAGATGAAAAGATTGTTGAAACCATTAATCCACCAGAATCTGATGGTCAGTTTCCTCCTGGAGATGAGAAGATTGTTGAAATGGCTGATGCACCAGAATCTGATGGTCATCCGCCTGCTCTAGTGGAAGAAGACTCTACTTCTGACGCTGGATTTTTCAGAAGAATGTGGAGACAATGGTTTCAAAGTAAAAGCGGTGATTTTGATGTCAAGAGTTGCAAAGATCAAGAAAAATATGGTACATCTGCCAGTGGTTCTGAGAAGGAAAGTGACACCGCTTTAGAGAAACACTTTACTTCTAAAGATAGCTCTGCAAAGGGAACTGATGAGGACAAGGATTCAAAATCACCAGTTGGTTTTGTTGATTTGGAACATTCTACATCACATTCTACGTCCAATGAGCCGGTCCTTGATAGGGGAACCGGCACAAGTCCAGCATTTCTAGATCGAATACGAAATTGGTGCCAATTTTGGAAAAGTACCTCGGACTTTGACAAACCAAGTGATCTTTCCTCTGATAAACCCAACGTGATCATTACTGATTCTGGAAAGGAGCTTTTCTCAAAAGATTCGTTTTGGAACAGTATGAAATCTTTTGTGCAGACACCTGAAGGGTCACTTCTTGTCTCTGAATCAAAAGCCAGGTGATTCCACCTTTGTGATTCTTATATTTCAACTTGTCTGGTGGTATTTCTTATGTGCTCAAGTCTCTACTGTCTTGTCTAAAACTTGCATTCATATTTTTTTTAGTCAGGACAATGGTTTCCAGTCAAAATTTTTTGATGTCTTTATAAGCTTAAAAATTATCCATAATGCTACCCAGCCAAATAGACTTCAAACATTAAAGAAAATCAAAATAGTTTAACTAGTTAATATACAAGGGAAAAGAAAACTCAAATATCCGTTGATTATGTAACCAAAAGTCTAGGTGCCGTTGCAATGCGCTAGAGTCAGATTTGATTGCATGGACATGGAATTGAATTCTGCACTAGGTTTACCGTATGAAAGGAATTAGAGCCAAATAAAAGGATGCATAAGAGAAAAAATTATTCATATATTTTTCTAAGAGATTAAAACTTATAGATCATTTATAATGGCACCCGTAAAACCTTTGAAGTACTTTGCACACTTCTGCTTTCTTTCTTTCTTTCTTTCTTTCTTTTTTTTTTGATAGTTATAACAGAAGCTGATGCCTTAAATTTTGTTATGGTAGTATCATTCCAAACATGATTTCAATGTTGTTAAATAAGTTGCAAGCTATTATATCAATTGTAACTAAAGAGAACCAGCTGTCAATGCTTTGTCTCAGGGAACAGATGGCTCGCGATCTTCAAAGTAAAGGACCTGAATGTCTTCAATCTCTCGGGGAAAACGATCTCCTCCACTTAGTTGATTTACTTATATCAGAGAAGAAGTGGGTAGAAGAGTGCCCCTCTGAAGTTTTCCCTTTCAAACTCACTCAGGTCGAAAAGAGTTTGTCTTTAGATCATTCGAAAGGGTTGAGTTCTATTCTTGCAGGCACATCAACATCCACCTCGGAGAGTTTATCCAAGCACGATGGAGAAGGAAAATCTGAGAATGTTTCTCATGTTGAGTCTTCTTCTTTCACCAAACGTAAACTTCCAGTGAAGTCCAGGGACGAGGTATTGGCTGACTGTCAAATGCTTGTAAACGAGATGATGAGAGAGCATCCCGGAGGAATTCTTGTAGGGTTGTTTAGAAAACATTTCCTTCAAAAATATGGATATCATCTTAATCCACAGCAACTTGGTTTTGAAAGGTTGAGATCCCTGTTAAGGACTATGTCTGGCGTGAAACTACAGGGCGGTTATCTCAGTCTTTCGAGTATTACCTCCAACACTGCAAGCTTGGAAGCTACTGTCCCTGATAAGCAAGAAAATATCAGTCATACAGTAGCCTCAGATATTGAATTATCCGGTGAATCAAAGAGTGATGACAGTGATGACTCACTGTGGGAAGAACTAGGGCCCATTGTCTCCCCGAAGTTCAAAATTAAACCGGGATCAGCCAGGAAGAGTGCAGCCAAATCGGCAGACAACCAGAACAATTTTGATTATGAACCTGCCATTTCGGATGATGAATTTTCTGATCCAGGAGAAACATTTCCTGCAAGCGGTGCAGAAGGGAATAGGAAGGGCGGTTCAGAGGAGTCTAGCTCTCTACTTCAAATCCTCGATTCTTGGTACAGCAGCAAGGGCCGCGACAATTGCAAGGACTCAGAGAATGTAGATGGGGCGGTTGCTTTGGGAACAAACACTGCCAAGTTATCTGATTCATTTATTCTTGGTCCCAAGAGTGAGACTTCTTTGAAGAGCCAAGGGAGGAAGCATAGGCCTCAGAAGACATACTCTTTTGTTACAGACCCAGATAGTAAGGACAACAGGGAGAAGCTCGTCGATGGCGTTCTAGAAAATCTAAGAAAATCCAAGGCCATGTGCGAGTAAGAGGGAGGTGGCCATACAAATTATTGTTTCCTATTAATGGCGGGGACCTTGGAATTCAGGTGATTAGTTCCACATTAAAGAAAGTTTATGGTAATTCTAGGAGTTAACATCGTCATTGTTGTGAGGTTTAGGTTTACATTGATGCCATTTTTGTTACTCGTATCATTATGGAATTAGGAATTCCAAATATGGAAAACTAAAGGTGGATAGAGAGGAAAAAAAAAGATGCGAATCTCTAAATTTAAGGATGCATCCTTAGATATATAAGTTCGAATTTTGGAATGAAGTAATATTCCAAACGAGCAAGTAATATTATTCTTACTCATCCTGGCATTATACTTTATATTTTATTTATGTGAATTCGGGGTGGGAGATTTGAACTCTACCCCTAAAGCGTAGTGAGGTGTGAATTTACCGTCAAGTTATGGTGGCAACTACTAAAGTTTGCTTAATTTGTAGATATGCCATTGGTATAGAAAAATGCAATATTAGCAAGGATAATTACAAAAATCACTAAAGTTTGCTTAATTTGTAGATATGCCATTGGTATAGAAAAATGCAATATTAGCAAGGATAATTACAAAAATCATCCTTGTATCTGATATTTGTATAAACAATCTACTATTGAAAACGACATCCACATCCTTTAGGTTCCGCCCGCCCACCCCCACCATGACCACTACCAAAATCACGTTTGATGACTTGTGTTTTCAAAAGCATTCATCAAATTTAAGTGAAAAGGGACTTTTAACATGTAAAAGAAGTTACTAACAACTATTAAAATGGATAATATAATAATTAGACAAATAACTGTGATATATCTTTTTCAAGTTTCCAACTCTTCATCTTATTAAATAGCGTAAATGGATTACTACTATACTTCAAAAAAATAAAATAAAATAAATGGATTACTATGGCCGTGTTTAGAATTGATCTTGTTTTTATTTTTCATATTTTTTGAGAAAGAAAAAATGAAAACGTTTTCAAAACGGCGTTTGGCACAATAAAAACAAAAAATAGAAATGAAAACGATTTTTTAGTTTAGTGTAAAATGAGAGAGAAATGAAAAATGATTTTTAGTCGCTTTTCATTTTTTATTTTCGTTTTCTCATCTCTTGAACAAAGAGAGAAAAAGAGACATTAATGTGTTTTTTTACACTAAAAATAATCTCTTGATAAAACTAACAAACGTATTTTTAAAAATAAATATTCCTTTTGACTCTCTCAATCATAATTCTTTTCTATCCTTTGTATTTCCCATCCCACTCTCTCAATCATAATTATTCTACATTCCTTCTACCAAATGGGGCTTAGAGACGAAAATATTCCTTTGGATTTGATTACTTTGATTTGTTTAGAAGGAAAAAAGAAAAAAATAGAAAAAGGCTTAGAAGGGCAGTTAGGGGATTGGAAAGTGTTTCTCCATTTTTTTTCTCCAAGTTAACAGATCAGATTGAAAATAAAATTTAAGATGTCAAATCTAATAAGATGGGACTTAGTTTCCTAAAATAGCGGATGGGTTTTTGTAATTATCTCATATTAATATTACTCGATCTAGTAAACTATTGATACTCTTGGTTGAGTATTGCAATAGTGTACTTTCTTCTTTTTTTTTTTTGTTTTTTTTTTGTTTTGAAAATGAAGTTTTATTTAAAATTTAAAGAATGCTGCCTAAAAGTTTGGGATGATTTATTTATTTAACCACAGTGAAGATACAAGTTCCCAATTTCTGTGCGGAAACAAGATCTTCAATTTTCTTTTTTTTTCCCCCCAAAGTTGGATGGCTGTGAATCTAATTTCAATATTACGTTTGGTTCATAGATTAAAATCATGATATTAGAATTATTTTTGATTTACGTGTATTTTTTATGAGAAAAAATACTGTATCGAATCATGAACCATGATTCAAATCATGGTATGAATCTTCTTACCAAACGTCGAGTTTGGCTTTTTCTCAATTTAGCAGAAAAAATTACTACTTCATTGGAGAGCAACTTTACAAAAAAAGATCCCTAAAAAAAAAAAAAAAACTTTGGACAATAAGAGAGTTTTGTCCGTATTGTTTTTTAATTTTATCATTTTTTTTCACTTTTCTGCATAAGAGGCAATAAATTATTGTCGTATTTTTATTATAACATTAAAGTTTAATAAAAATAAATAAACAATTCTCCCATTTAAAAAAAAATCATTTGGTTAATTTGATTGATTTATTTATTTTCATATCTAAATCTAAGGCCTCATTCACTTCGTAGATTTGAGTTTTCAATTCTAACTGAGATGTGACATTTTTTTTAGAGCTTTTCACGGTAACAGAAAAAGTTAAATGTGACATTTTCTGAGAGTTTTTAACTATAAAAACTTAGAATTAAAAACTCAAATCGGTGAAATGAACGAGACCTAAATATTCTTCTTATGTTTTCAAAGGATTAAGCCATGAAAGAGCCTGCAGGACATCAAATATCATTAACGATAATTTTGAAATATTGACGAATGTTAATATCATGAAATAAAAAATAATTTTTAAATTTTCTTTTACGAGAACAAGGAATACTGTTTTGTATTAACCTGAATGTAGGAACAAATTTTAGTCTTCTTTTAGGGGGAAAACAAAACCTTAAATAGACATTCTATTTTTTTCTGTTTAATTTTGAAAACTGCATTTTTTATTTTTCTATTAGGGCTCCGCGTTGAGTAAATGAACGTCATTTCACTAAAATTTAGTTGATAAATAATAACATCCTCATTTGGGGAATTATCATTCCGGTACCTTATAGTTTAGTACATTACTAAATTGGTATTTCGTTTGGGAAATTCTGTTAATGAAATAAATCTCATCCAAGTACCATGAGCTCTTTCTTTGAGCATGAAATGATGTTTTTGTCTCCCTCAAAAAAGGAAAAAAAAAAAAAAATTTGATGGTTTTGTCCTTTCCAAAATATAATCTTCAAGAAAACAAGATTTTTGCCCTTTTTTTAAATTTGAGATCTGGTTTTTTATTTTTATTTTTTAAAAATTTGCTGAACAAATTAAATTAGATATATAGAATTGTCAATTCATGTCTCAAAAATAGACCTAGGATGCAACATGGTATTCTTTTTTTTTATTTATTTTTTATTTTTTTATAACAAGGTACCCAAATTAAATTCGTTGAACATCAGTGATCAGAGAATATTAACTTGATCAAATCAACATTTACAGGGCAGTGGAATGATATTTTCTCCATTTCCCAAAATAAGAAGGAAAAATTGAAAAGACAACATAAGTGGTGGTCCCAAACTTATCCTAACGTTTAAGTAAAATAAATAAATAAACAAAAGTCAGATACGTGCACCTGTACATGTTGCGAGAAGCTCACTAGCTCAATTGAGCTTTTTTCCTTTTTATTTAGACCCACTACTTGTATTTAAAAATGAGTTAAATTCATAGATATTTTCTGAACTTTTTTCTCTTTTTATAATTAATCTTTATAATCAATTTTTCATATAAATAATCTCTGAACTCTAAAAATATTATAAATAGTTTTTCTGTTAAATTTTAGATGAAAACATTTAATTTTGTTTCATAAAAAATTCCTAAACTATTTTTTCTCTTTAAAAATAATTTCTACGTTAAAGAGAAACAATAACTATGATAGAAATCAAAATTGCAAATCCTTCTCAAAGGTTCAAAATCCACTAACCAGAAAAAAAAATTTCCCCTAAGATCTAGAAAAAAAATAATAATAATAATAAACCCAAAATTTTTCAAATCCCCTCTCCCTCAAGATTTTTTTTTTTTTCAAATCTACCAACCCTCCCCTAGCCTCGTGCTCGTCAGCCCCTCCCCATTCCATCTGCTTGTCACCTCCGTTGCTTCCCTTCCCTTCCCTTGCCGCTCACACGCAACCCAGCGCCGCCGCTCCTTCCCTCTCCAGCCTCATTTGACTCCGATGAGGCTTTTAGATTCGAACTTAAGAGGGTTTCGCATCTTGAAATGACACGTTTCGACTTCATTGACGGCAATTCAACCAGCGCTTAAGGTTTGGACGCTTGCTGTAGAATTGAACTTGCATTTGTTGCTCTTTGAATAATTTGTGTTTTTGCACTAAGGAGAAATTTGTGTGTTGTTGAACTTTTAAATTTAATTTCTTTATATTCATATTCTTAGCGGGGAAGATGACGACATGTGTTGTTACTCTTTAGAAATTTTCATTTTTTTATTTTTTATTTGACTTTTTTAGTTTTTAGTTCTTTTTTTATTTTATAATTTTTTAGATATTATGTTTTTTTTAATTTAGAGATTAAATTTATTAGGGAGAAAATAATTTAAAGACCTTTTATGAGACAATTAATAATTTCTATCTAAAATTTAACATAATGACTATTTATGACACTTTTAAAATTTAAAGACTGTTCATAAAAAAATTGACTACAAAAACTACTTGTAGAAAGAGAAAAATTCAGAGACTACCAACAAATTTAACTCTTTAAAAAATTGATGGTTAAAATTTAGAAGAAAAGAAAAATCATGGAAATTGTTGACTTCACGCTTTCCCAAAGGCCCACCAAAAGTTGGAAAAAGAATGGGAAATATAATAGAGATTTTTTTTTTTTGCTAGAAAAATATTATAATGGAGATTTTTGCTGAATAATGGAGATTAAAAACACTACAAAACTCCAGCAAAACACCATTATCAATTGCCACCAACCAAACCACACCTTCCATTCAAGCAAAGCCCCAACGGCCCCACACCCACCAGCCCATGGGCCCATTACAATCCCTTCACCCTTGAACTGCGTTGAGCTGAAAGAGAAACAGACACGTCTTGTTTGTCTTGACTCTTATCCGAATCCCAAATGCAAAATTCTTTTCATTTCCTAAATTAACCCCCAAAGGTATCACCGAAAGACATATATGCCCTCATCTTTCCAATTCATCAGTCCACATATGTACATGTTGAAGTAGAATTGAGCAAATTTCGTATTTCCTTATTAAAAAAAAAAAAAAACTAAAAACAAAAAAAGGGGCGCAAAAACAGGAGTCCATTTTTTTTTGGCTAAAAAAAAATGTCAACTAGAAAAGGATTTAACGGGTTTGAGTTTTTTCCTTTTCCAAATGTCCTTTTACAGACCCAAAAAAGCCTTCTTTTCTGCTCCAAATTTTGAAGGAAATAACCAGAATCGCCATTCACCAGTGTCTTCCGAGAGAACCACCTCCTCCACCCTTGTTCTTAGGGAAGAAAGCATTTTTTGCCTTTGGTTTTGGGATCTCATGGATGTCCATCACTTGGATAGTTCTTTGCTTTTTAGCTTCAATAACAAAGCACAAAGCAAAAAAAAAAATACCAACAATCAGTATAAGTCCAAACGTAACATAGCTTAAATAACAAGAAATTAGTGTAAACTGGAAAAGACCAAAGAAAATGGCGAACCATTTTCAGCTTCTTTGTAATTTTCTTGAAGCCGTTTTCTTGCGGAAGCCAGCTTTTCCGCGTCAAAGCTGCCCTCCCTTTGTTCCCTCTGTCTCTGCAAAAGTGTCAACAAAATTAACTCAGAATATTATCAAAGTGGATCATTTACTGCCACTTTTCACTTAAAAGAACTTCACATTGTGCAGCATCTGAGGGGAACTTACACCTCTACTCAACTAGGCTAAGGTTTCAAGTAATTGGGCACAGTTGAGTTGGGTTTCTTTCTTTATGTTTTTGGAAGCTATATAAGCCTCAAATTTTTATATTTTCTTCCTCCAATTTTCAGCATCCAACCATAGAGTTAGGGGACTCTAATTTGGAATCCATACATTTTGGGGAGTTGAGTGAGCGGACTGTGGGACTGATGGATTCATTGGTTTCGGCAGAGCTTCTCTCCGAGAAGGAACTGCTTTGGGCTTCTGTTCTGGTTCTGAATTGTTCTTGTCTGACCCAGAACTCCCATCTGCATCGGCAACAAGAATAATTTCAAAAATTCAAAAAAAGAAAGAAGCCCAGATTGGTTAAATTGCAAAACAAGTAGAGTGTCAGAGAAATATGAAAGGAAACTGATTCTAAGTACTCACTGTGTGGATTTGGTGAGTATGCAAAATCAGGAACCTGAGAAGAAAACCAAGCACATAGAATATTTAGCAAGCTAATTGTAGAAAAAACTCAGATTTTCTCAAATGTTGTGCCAGAGAAAAAAAGAATACAATTCAGCTAAGAATTTTGATTTTTTTTCTTTTTTTCCAACCTGGTGATGACCATTTTGGGGAATTTTCTGTTGGGGTGAATCTCCATCTGCAACAAATCAGTATACCAAATTAGAACTTATACAAAACTCCCATGTCAAGGCCAGAAACTCTCAATCTTTCAACTTTTTTCCCCCAAAGGAGAAACTTAAATAGGAAGAATTTTTTGAATGGTACCCATGAGAGAATTTGATGCATGTTCTCCAGGTTGATTCAGTTTCACCCATTCATCCACGGTATCCTTCCATTTCCTGAGAAACAAACAACTTTTTTAATCAGTTCGTTGTCAGAAACAACTAAAGAGAAACTTTCATCTTTCAACAAGTTGAGATCATTCAAAAACCTGACAACTTGCTTCACCAATCGCTTGACTTCGCTCGACGGATGTTTCCTCAACCGATTCACATGTCTCCCAATATCCGTTTCCTACAAATCACAATTCCATATGTGAAAAATTTTCACAATAAAAAAAAAAAACAAGACAATAAAACAAAATTACCTTGAGAGCTTGGAATGTTATATCCATATCAGCAAGACTCTGAAGCAATTCCACCAATGTATCTTCAGACTGCCAAAGAAATTCAAAACGTAAAATCCGAAACGAAAAGGTCAGAAGAGAAAAAGAATAAAAATAAGTAGTAGAAGTAAAACCTGGTCAGAATCTTCAAGTTGCTCCTTGATTTCTAGAATCTTCTTCTGCTCATCGTCGAACAAGCCTCCGTACGGATCTAGCCCCTCGCCGTCGTTATCGCTGTTTTCTCTATCGATCGACTGCGGCGTCGGCGGCGAGACTCTCTCCTTCTCGCCGGCGGTCTTCGCTTCCCGGTCGTAATGGCGAGGACGATGATGATCGGAAGCCGAGGACGAAGAGCTCGCCGCGTAGAGCCGCTCGACGATCCCGTCTCTCCGCTGCCTCAGCTCGCCGCCGTAGTCCATGGACGCGACAGCGATCGCCGTGTCGATGAACGTCCACACGTCCACTCCCGAGCTGTCCAATATCGCGCGGAAATCGTCGTAATCCATTACAAACTCCGAGCTCCAACAATGGCGGACAAAATTTTTCTGATTCGATTTCTGAATCGAAGTCGCTCAAAGTTCGAAATTTAATCTATTCTATGCTCGAACCAAAACCAAATCTGATCCGAATTCCTCTTAGATTCGTCGATTCTGAGATCACCGCAAGATCTAGAAAGCCAAAAAGCGGCGGCTAATCAATGACACAACGAATCAGTTTCGTCATAACCTCAAATTTTGATCAAGGAAGCATAGAAATTAGCGGAAAAAAACCTCAAAAAGCTCAAATGCTAAGATTTCTTCGCACGAAAAGAATGAAACCTCAGATCCGAGTCAATCAAAACATGGAAATTGCGTTGAAATCGGAAGGCGAAGAATGAGAAACTTGTTCAAACTCTTTCTTCGGTTCTTCGTGTTGGTCTTCCGATTGAATCTCCCTCGAATTTTCCAGAAATCGTCACGAACAACAAAGGTTGGTACAATAATACAAAGACAAAACCTTTTTTGGGTTTTCCTTTTCTTTTTCTTTTTCTATATTTTTTTCTAATTTTGATTTTTTTTCTTTTTTTGGGGGGGTTATGCTGAGCGAAGAAGAAGAAGAAAAAGCAGCCACCACGGCCTTTGGTTTTGGTACGAAGCAGGTTTTGGATTGTTGTGGATTATGGGAGGAGAGAGAGAGAGAGCCAAAGAGATAGAGATAGAGAGAGAGAGAGAGCCAAATAGATAGAGATAGAGATAGAGAGAGAGAGAAAATTGAATAAAATAATGGATTACTTTGAATATTTGCATAATTGGTGGGAATATTTTTGTGTGGGTGGGATGATGGGGGAATAATATATTTTCATTGTGCTATCTTCCGATGCCTAAAAGATTTATGACCTAGTATATTTAAATTTTTAATTTTAATTTTATTATAATTAAAATTTTTTATAAAAAGTTAAATTTAATTTTTTTATTATAGTTAAAAATTTTAAAATAAAATTATATTTTAATTTAAATTAAAATTTTAAATCAGTAAAATAAATGAGATTTTTAATTTAAAATTAGTAAATTATACGTGATTAAATTCCGTTTAAAAATGTTGGTTAAGGGTGAAAGTAGATGAGCATCACTTTTAAAAATATTGTCTTTGGACATGTGACTTCCACAGGTAAAAATGATACGAATAAATAATTAGGCGAACATCATTGTTAAAGAATTTGTATTTAAATATAAATATACCACTTTTACATGAGGATTTAAATTTAATTTAAGTGTGAAAATAATATATGTGAACGACCAGACTTTCGGGTGGTATGTGAATTCAATGGTAAATTAGATGAGCATCGCTTTTAAAGAATTGATATTTGATTATATCACTCTTATGAAAAGATTTACGATTTCTCGAATCTGATATGCTTTTCATGTATCAGATAATATCTAACCAATTAAATTGTAATAATTTTTTTTATGTATAATAGTATCTAGCTAATTATGTTGTAATACATAATTTACAAAATTTACTTTTCAACTAATTTTTATGTATATTTTAATATTTATTAAATATTAAATAATGTTTTATAAGAATAATATTAAAGACACTAACTCAAATTTTAAATTTTATATATGATATATGAGTTATCATTTTTACATTAATAGTTATTTAACATATTATCATGTTAATTAATAATAAGATATTATAAAATAATAACTCACATGTCACATCAATTAATATAAGAGTTAAGATTTAAATAGGTCTTTCTATCATTATTCCTTTTTTTAACATGATTGGTTAGATAGTATCTAAAGACATCTTAAAATTTGAGAGAAGATCTTAGCCCGTACTTTTACACTAGAATTAAGATGATGTTTGGTATGAAAATTTATGTCATAGTTTAAATCATAATTCGTGACTCGTTACAATATTTTTTATCATAAAAATACATATAAATTGAGATAAAAATACACATAAATTAAAAATAATTCTGAATTATAATTTTAAATTTATAAATCAAACATCCGTTAAAAGACTAATTATGATCAAAAACAGGTTTGGCGCATTAGGCATTTGTGGAATGGAATCTTTTTTGACTGTCCCATTAAAGCTTTTAGTTAGTTTTTTGCTGTGTTTTGCAGGCAAATGGAGAACGTGGCTTTCTTGACAGGCTAGGGGCCACACATGAAGCTCTAATCCATCTATGATTTAAAAATGGAAAATCCATTAGTGCTACAATGAGGACAAGGATTTGAGGAAAAATCCATTTGTTTGGTTAGAGATTTGTTCTCTGATTCGAATCATGGTTCATGATTTGTTACAGTATTTTTTTTTATAAAAAATAAACGTAAATCAAAAATAATTTTAATCTCATGGTTCGAAAATAGCTCCAATGGTTCTAATCCATTGCACCCTAAAAATTGATAAATACACTCACTAATTAATACTCATTTAAAAAAAGATTTGAAAATTTTATACTTTTATAGATATTACTTTCATAATACCCAATTTAATCATTTCATTCTCCACTTTAACTTTAATCTTAATTTGATTTATGGAAAACTATGCACCATCTTGTGTTTTATATTATTTTGAAACATTTCTATTAATCAGCTTTTTTAGCTAATATTTTTATTTTTGTACAGCGGTTTGCTTGATAATTCTTTTGACTACTAGATTGAGAAGCCTCGTTCACTTCGCTGATTCGAGTTTAGAATTCGAGTTGAGATGTGATTTTATGTGAGAGCTTTATACTGTAGCAAAAAAGTTAGATGTGATTGTTTGTGAGAGCTTTTTACTGTAGAAAAACTTAAATTCTAAACTCGAATCAGCGAAGTGAACGGGACCTCAGGCCGTAAAAACGAATAGAATACCATTACATTTTTTTAAATCATTAGTTTTCGTATACTAGAGTTTTTTTTATCAGCTATTCTTATTTAGAGTTGAGCAAACGACTGAATATGTCATCGATTAAACTTTATTGCTTTTTACTTTTTTGTTAGTATTCTACAAAATTGTTCATAAATTAAATAAGTTTTTTTGGGGAATTAAATAAGTTTTTTAGTTAAATAAAAAGGTTAACTATAATAATAAAAAACAATTTTTTTTTTTTTAAAAACACTTTCTAATTATAGTTATTATTGTGGGTGTATGGTTTTTTTTCATTTATTTGAAAAAGAATACCATTTCTATTTATAGTTAATATGGGGTGTGTTAATAGGTTTTAATGTAATTTTAACGCAGGTAAACTTATAATGAACATAAAGTTTTTGTGTAATCTAGGTTTCGTTCATTTTACTCATTCGAGTTTAGAATTTGAGTTTTACTACAGTAAAAAGCTCTAAAAAACAATCACATCTAATTTTTTACTGTAGTAAAAAACTCTCACATAAAATCACATCTTAACTCGAATTAAAAACTCAAATCAGCGAACTAAACCGGTAGTTTGCATTTTGATTGTAAACATATCTAATGAAGAGAAATAGCTTTGGACGTAATGAGAATAATATCTTCAATTCTATGACGTGGAAAAAAAAATAGACTTGGGCACATGGGTTTTGTACTAATCCGCCAACTACAAGGTCTCTGGATTTACCATTTGTCGAATCTGGTTTTGAACATCAGTCATTTGAGGGGTTTGGATTCAACTTAAGAAAGTCACCCTTTTCCAATGCTCAAGTTAACTAGTAATATTCTTTTATCTTAAAAGGAGAAATTTGTATGGTATGAACTGCTATTATATACTTATTTATGGTTCGTTTAATTCATTGATTCGAGTTGAGATATAATTTTATGTGATAATTTTTTACTGTAATAAAAAAAATTAGATATGACTGTTTTTTAGAGTTTTTTACTGTAGTAAAACTCGAATCGATGAAATGAACGAAACCGTAGTAAGAATTATTATGTTAACAATTTAATTTTTTTTTAATAATCTGATATGTCAATAGGAGGAGGGAGTTTTATATCACAATCTATAAATTTTTAATGTGATCAATCACAGACTACATTGTTAAAAAACTATCTAATAATTAAAATAATAGTTCTTATCAATATGGTAAACTAACAGTTCTCACAAAAAACAAAAAATCCAAAAAAAGAGTAAACTAGATTCATTAAAGAAAAAAGGTAAGCTAGTTAAGAACCAGTCAGAGTTTGAATAATCTTTAGCCATTGGGGGTACCAAGTTGTTGAGTAAGGGACAGGTCTTTCTTTCTTTTCTTTTTCTTTTTTGTTTGACTCGTTAAAAAAAATAATAATAAAAGAACCAGGGAAAAAAAATACAGTGCATAAAACAACCTAATGTTGATGAATGCATTTAAGCCTGTAAATAGGCACATGGATGTAGGCTTGTAGCCAGCTTTGCCTTTTTTTTTTTTTTTTGATGTTTTATTTTTTAAGAATATTTGTATTGCTTACTTATTAATCGTTGAATTCGTATTAAATCTAATCAAAAGTTAAATTAAATTAAAAAAATAATATAAATTTGACTATTAATAAATAGGGAATATCAGTATTTTCAAAAAAGAGAAAACACTATAAAATTTTTTTTTTCTTGGTTAATTATTTTATTATTATTTTTTTAATAAAAACCCATATCTCAAGAACTTGCATTTAAACAAAACCAGAGAACAAACACAATAAAAGGTTAATGACACAACGGGGGAACAGACATACACTTGAGGCCCAAAAACGGGAGAATATCTCGGCACATTAAGATCGAGCACACCTACGACTCTATTTGATAAAACTCCTCTCAGCAAGATAAGCTATTGAGTGATGGAGAGACAAAACATCGTAGCACTAAGGCTATATCAAACACCGCCAAGACACCAGTCCAACGGACACCAAAAATAAACAAAGACAACGGGGTGAAAATCCCGGTTATTGTAGTAAAAACACACAAAAAAACATAATAAACAAAAAAGACCACAAGACCCGTTGTCAAGCGACTCTGGTGAGGAGACAATAGGCAAAAGCACCACCAAAAAAAGACAAACTTTCAAGGAAATACGGTGAGATCGAGCAAACGGTGTAAAATTACAAGTGAAACTCACCCTTTGCAGCCACCATCGACAATCAAAACCACGGCCTCTCAGAGAAATCCACTGCCGCACAAAACAAAACACCAAAGGAGCACGACCATCATCTGGCGAACATGTTGGAGGTAACAGCCCAAACGAACGACATCTCACTTTCAAAGCGTGTTAGATCCACTCCAATGAAAACACCACTCCACAAACTGCCACCACCACGTAAAAGACGACGACGAGACGAATTTAGGAACCAAGTTTAAATGGGAGGCCCGGTGAAACGCCCGGTTTCTAGGACCTGACTCATTCTCTCCTTTTCTCTTTTTCTCATTCTTCTCTAGGGCCGGCTCCTTTTCTTTTCTGAGAATGATTTTTTTTTTCAATCAATGCTCCAAAAAAGTGTAATTAGGTAACGAAAATATGTTTGGTATGATATTGGATAGCTTTTTAAATAAATGCTCTTTCTGTTAGAATGGTAAATTAGAGATAAAATATTAAAAATGCATATTTAGGGCCCATTTAGTTCGCTGATTCGAGTTGAGATGTGATTTTATGTGAGAGCTTTTTACTGTAGCAAAAAAGTTAGATGTGATTGTTTATGAGAGCTTTTTACTGTAGCAAAACTCAAATTCTAAACTCGAATCAGCAAAATGAACGGGGCATTAACCTTTTCTATTGTAAGAGATGGACGGTACTTATACTTTCATAAAAAAGATGGACAGTACTTATT